CAGCATCCTCAAACGCGCACACCACCATGCCTCACGCCCCACCAGCAACCTAGCTCAAGCGCACCCACACCTTCACGCACACACCAGATCTCACGACACAGCATCCTACAGACGCACACCAGCATCCCTCACGCACACCACATCCTCAACGCACAGCCAGGCATCTCAACGCACACCAGCATCCTCAACGCACACCAGCATCCTCAAAGCACACTCGCATCCTCAACGCACACCGCATCATAACGCACACCAGCACCCTCACGCCACCAGCATCCTAAACGCACACCAGCATCCTCAACGGCACACCAAACATCCTCAACGCACACCAGCCCCTCACGCACACCAAGCATCCTCAACGCACACCAGCATCCTGGCAAACGCACACCAGTCATCCTCACGCACACGCAGCATCCCTCAACGCACACCAGCATCCTCAACGCACACCAGCATTCTCTCAACGCACACCAGCATCCTCACGCACACGCAGCATCCTCAAACGCACACAGCATCCGAGTCTCACACGCAACACCAGCCACCCTCAACGTACACGCAGCCCCTCCAACGCAGCCACCAGCATCCTCAGACGCACACCACATCCTCAACGACACACAGCATCCTCAACGCACACCAGCATCCTCACGCACACCAGCATCCCTCCCCGCACACCAGCATCCTAGCTCAACGCACACCAAGCACCCTCAACGTACACTCCGCACCCTCAACGCACACCCAGCCATCTCAACGCACACAGCATCCTCAACGCACACCAGCATATCCATCAACGCACAGCCAGCATGCCTGCAACGCACACCAGCATCGCTGCACGTACACGCAGCACCAAAGCACCCAAGCACACCAGCATCCTCAGCAGCATACCAGGCATCCTCACGCAGCACCAGCATCCCTAACTCAACGCACACCAGCATCCTCAACGCACCACGCACCATGCTTCAACGCCACCACATCCTAGGCTCCAACGCACCCCAACCCATCCTCACGGCACACGCAGCATCCTAAGCTCAACGCACACCGCAGCAATCCCTCAAAGCAACACTAGCATCCTCAACGCACACACCATCCTCAAGCCACCCAGCATCCTCACGCACACCAAGCATCCTCAACGCACACCACATCCTCAACGCACACGGCAGGCATCTCTCAACGCAACACCAGCATCCTCCCCAGCACACCAGCATCCTCAACGCACAAGCATCCTCACGCAGCACCAGCATGCCTCACTAACACGCAGCACCGCTCAACGCACACCCAGCATCCTCAACGCACACCAGCAACCTCAACGCTACACCAGCATCCTCATCGCACACCACAGCATCCCTCATCGCAGCAACCAGCATCCTCAACGGCACACCAGCATCCCTCAACGCACACGCAGCACCCTCAACGCATACCTAGGCATCCTCAACGCACACCAGCATCCTCACGACACGCACATCGCTCAACGCAGCACCACATGCCTCACGGCCACCAGCCATCCTCACGCACACCAGCATCCTCAACGCACACCAAGCCTCGCTCAAGCGCACACAAGCATGCCTAACTCAATCGCACCCAGCGATCCTCAACGGCACACCAGCCATCCCTCACGCACACGCAGCATCATGCAACACACCCGCATCTCAACGTACACCAGCATCCTCACCCCGAGGGCACACCACCATTCTAGCTCAACGCCACAACACCATTTCCTCAACGCACACCAGCATCTCCTCAACGCACACCAAGCATCCGTCACGGCACAACCACCATCGCTAGCCT